CCCCTGTTATATTTTTCATATAGTTAAATGTTTTACTATATGTAGAGTGAGTGGCTATGGTTAAATGTAAAATAAATGACAGAACTGTCCAACAAACAGAATTGACAAAATTTGTAATAAGCAATAACAAGAAAAAGAAATGAATAGGGGAAAAAAATAATATAAAACAAGGAAACAATATGCAAGGCAAATTAACAGTAATATCACAAAAAGTTAACAAACTAAGAATTGGGGTTGACACATGAGCAAGTTTGGATAAGTGAACATAGCACTCTGACTTCAAGACAGACTGGGACCGAGTTATATGAAACTGAGAACTGGCCTAATTTATTGGCCAGGAAGAAATCCCAGTATTAATTTGTGTGCTTCTGACTATCAATTGGTGTGGGGAAAGTGTTTGGGAGTTATTCCAAAATGATTGTTTTTATGACATGGGTGTTTTTTGTAGGTTACCTATGAATGTGTGGTACATATCCAAATGAATGGTGATGGATGAGTTCTTGTGGTGAATAAGTAAATTGTAATGGATGACTGGGTCATAAATCTGATTAGCTAGGTCTAGTATAGTTAATGTTGACCAGCCTCACCCTACTTCCCCTTCAACCTTGTGCCACATTATTAAAAAAAAAAAAAAAAATAAATAAATCAACATTCCAAAATGATTGAAACAGCACAAGTTACACTTGTGAGTATATTTATATATTTTGAGTAAACAAACTATGGCTGATAATTTTCTTTTGTCAACAGTGTAGAGTTTACAAGTACACATTATGAGTAATAAATGTTTTTTTTTATCTAGGCTTGAAGTACTGGAAATTTTATAATAATCAGCAGTAAAAGTAATCACCCACTGTCTACAAGTAGGGAGAGAAGAAAATAAATAAATAAAACATTTGGATAAAGTGACACTCAACTGGAATTGAGAATTCCTATTATGAGCCTATATAGTCATGCTGTGTTCTAGAATTGCTAGTCAGAAGCTTTCTGGTAGTGGTGGTGGGTGATGACCCATTATGATATGAAAATGGGGAGAGTAGCAGTCAGTGAGTGAGTGAGTTGGCAGTCAGAGGAATCCATGAATAAAGAACCAAGTATACTGAAAAGAGGATTTGTCTTTTGCCATGATGATATTTCACTTTCTATTCCTTTGCATGTACACTGGGTCTTTCCCAGTTTTTGTGCACACCAATGCAAATGGGGAATCAAAACACATCTTACAGGTGAAAGACTCTGTTCAGTGAAAGACGGACAAAGGTTTGTGGTCATATGTTTACAATAAGACTGTATAGTGTCTATCTCCCTTATATGTATTCCAAGGGAATTATCATTAGACACAATACATAGAAAAGGCAGCAGCCAGATGTCAAAACCTTGGATGCAGAGATCAAACTGATAAAATTTGCTTTCTGTGCATCAGGATCTATGCACATCTGGCAAGAATAACTTAAAATTTCAAATAAGTGCAACCTCAGTTTCTAACCAAACACTGACTGAATTTTCTTTTCTTTTTTTTTTTATTTCTATATTATAAGATCCACAAGGTATTTTTGAGCCATTTACTTAGGAAACAAGATGGGGATTTGAATAGTAGATATCACATTTAAATTAGGTATGAAAATTTTGAAGCAATTACTGCAAAATCAAGCTCAAATGATAATCAATAAAACTTTATTTCAACATCTGTTCTATTTGGTATTTATTGTTTATGGTATGCACAGGGGAAAATAAAGATTTTTTTTTTGTTTTTGTTTTTTGAGGCTAGTTCAACATTGTATACTGTACGAATTTTATAAAGCATAGACAATTAAATCAACATTTTGGGACTCCCAGCTATGGGTTAAATAGCCAAGTAAACTGGGTTCTCTAGCTGTGGTTAGTAACCAATCTAGGATGACAACAACTTTGAATTCCAAACCGCATGTAACTCTGGCAAAGTATATACCATACAGCCATGAAATAGATTATGGCATTCAGTTAATAGCAGCACAGTGTTATAGACTCTGGTTACATCTTGCCATTTCAACTGTAAAAGGATGAGACCTAGCTGCCAATCTAGCATTTAAATTCATAAAGTGGAGGTACCAAAGAGGAAAGAACAATGAAAATATTTATAGAAAAGGCACAAGTAAGATATGTTATGTTGAACTTTTGTACTTTGACTTGAACATGCAATGATGTTTTACTCTTCAGGCTACTGAAGTTATAATGCCCAGAGTTTCTAACTTTTCAGTCTATTTTTTTTCCTAACATTATTCTATGTTGCATTGTTGACTAGCAAAGATTGGTGATACATTTAAATTGTTTTTAAGTTTTTGAAAGAATATTCAGCAATCTTTGACCTTCATTTCCACAAAAAAAGAAAACAAAACAAAACAGTGTTAAAAAGACGGTTTTTCCTTTGACACTGCTATTATTTTAACTGCCTTTACTCCTCAACAATGTTTATTCTTTTAAACCTGATGATTGCAATTGTAATAAAACCTAAAAATATTATGATAGTGAACTTATGCATTTTTTGTCTTTGAAAATTTACAACAAAAATATTAAACATTATTTATTAGATTGTTTATTTACAATATTGTAAAAATTAATACAATTTAAACTAATGCAATGCAATATTTATCATTTACCAATTTATAAAGAAATAAATATGAAAACAATTTTTTTATTCACAAATTTATAAACCTTTACTAAATTAGTAAAATATGTGAACCGACTCTGAAGAAATTGTTATTTACCATTTTATAAAGTTTGAATCGATTGGTAATTAGCCAATGTCTTACCAATCATTCCAATAAATAATATAATAAATAGTGTAAATAAACTAAATCTAATAAGTAAATATTGCCCAGGAGTGAAGGTAGTTAAAATAATAATGGTGTCAAAGTAAAAACTGTCCATTTGACACTCTGTAATTTTTTTCAGGCACAAAGGTCCAAGATTATCGAATATTCATTATTACACCTATTTTTGCTTTAAATACTTGATGTTTAATGAAAAACTAAAAATTATATACTTATACTAGTTTACCTGAACCATAAAAAATGATTGCTATATTTAAAGTAATCTTTATGTCGTAGACTCATCTGATAACTTAGAAATGTATTACACTAAAAAATCTAGATATAGATACACATAGTCTTATATTTTTAGGAAATGGATTAAATCTGACATATCGTTATTTTTAATTTATTTTATTAAAACGTTATTTTTGATGGATACTCATATTTGAGTAGAAACTCTATTTTTTAATTTAACAATATTTTTTTTTATCCAACTACATCTATTGGCCCGAATATTTGAGCTGGGAATATTAAATACAGAAACCACCTTTATATTTGAGGTACTCATTTTACTGAACACAGAATAGAAAGTTAAATCATTCTCAAAAAATAGATCAAATTTTTATTCTATTTATTTATTCAAAACAGTGAAAACCTTTAGCTATAAGTATGGTAATTACCTAGGCCAACCAAACCTGCAGCAGTGACAGATAAAAAAAAAAGAAAGGGGGATAATCATTAGAATTACAGATGAAGACCTTAATTACCATTTTTTTTTTTTTTTTTTTTTTAAAGCCCTTAAGGAATTTATCACTACAGGCCTGTACCAAGTTAGTTATCCTGGCATGTGCAGAGGAGAGGCTAAAACAGGCATGGGCAACCTTTTTTGAACAGTGGGCCACATGAGGTACAGTTCACCATAAGACTGGCTGCACTACTAGAAAAAAAAACATCAAGAAATTTTTAATTAAAGATACCACAGCCATTTTCCTAACAAAAAAACAATGTGCATCAATATCTGCTTTAGAAATGAGGAAAAGTTGATTTTTATACTTTGAACAAAAGATTACTTCTATAATTTAAAAAAAATCAAGTCTTGGTATAATATTATCACTGATGACAGTGATTAACACATGCTGCTATATGTGATTTGTTTCTTATTTATTCAATTGAATATACATAAATATTTGTAAAAGAAGTATATTTACTCTCAACAAAAAATAGTTAACATTAACATTTCCTGTTTCTAAAGCAAAAAATGTATACACATATGATCTTCTTAGTGAAAAATCCCCAATGGTTTAAGATGCTGACATTACCTTCAGCAAAAAATTACAAAATTCAAGAAATGTACTTAATCATTGTTTATGTATGTGGTATTCATGAGAGTGTGTAAGCGAACAAGTGAAAACAAAAGGAAGCAAACAATATTTTGATAAACATTATTTTCCTTGTGAAATTAGGTAACATTCAGAAAGCCAATCTGGCCATGTGGTCTAAGAGATCTCAAGATTCAGGAGCAGTTGAAAACTGCAGATTTGACTTGTTTTTGAGACAATAAGAAACTAACTGAAGATACAACATTACTATCATATTAGAAAAACAAGCAAATAAACTATGAGCCATGCAACGACATTTTGCATTTAATTTGATTCTGGTTCAACAAACATGAAAGGAAAGCATTTTAGGAGAAAGCTAAAATTTTCTCCAAAAGCTGGAAACATTTCAGCAGATGAAAAAGGTATCCATTACTTAGAGTTATTGATGAAGCTCAGCTTGGCACAAGGCCACAATACTAAAGCACTCAGAATTTAATTCATTATACTTGGTGTTAATTATTATGCTTTTTATTTATTTATTTTTTTTTTTGTTGCTTAATACAAAAGTGTAACTTAGTATCTGCTCACAGTCATCGGTATAACTGGATGCCATTTTCCTTTTTATTTCTTTTCTTTTTTTTTAATTGTAGATTTATGAATTATATCTACATTCATTTGGCCATTAAAAGGATTAAAAAATGACTATAGGTTGTAACTGTAATCCCAGCAGGCAGGCTTTTGGTTATAAGAATCCTAATTTGGGCAGACATTTTGGTATGATTGGGAAAGCCAGTTCTCTTCCTTGAACCCTAACCAATTATGACAATTTTATTTGCATAGACGTCCACCGCTTTCATTCCAACAAATTAATATAATGTTTTGTGTACTTGTGTTTCAGAAAACTGCTGATTGATACTGGTGAGATCAATAACAATGAATATCTCTCTTTGCTGCAGTCGATTCTCAAGGCCAATGACAGTTACATAGCTGAGATCATTGTCACTCATTGGCACCCTGATCATGTTGGTGGAGTGCCTGACATCTGCAAAATGCTTGCTGATCAATCAGGTAAGAATGTAATTTATCTTCAAGACTCAACTTATTTTTATTGTTTTTTTTTAATAAAATTATTTATTTTGGTTGGTGGTCTTTGTTGAGTAATCCAAGCAGAATATTTAACAGCTTTATAAAAATATTAAATTTATTGTAATCATTTTTTTTCTGATTCTAGATAATAGATTGGTACACAAGCTGTAGGACTGATCCAATCATATTTTATATAGTGGGATTGCAAGCCCTATTCATAAATTTCTGCTATTTACACATGGCTGGGGAGGGGAATGGATTCTGCTTTTGTTTTTGAATTTATAGTTGTTCTTCCAGACTGCTTGCTATCTAAGACTCAAGAGTCCAGTCTACCCAGCTATTTTACCCATAGTGGTGTTATGGGGAGAAGAGATGGCATTAGTGTGAAGTGAATGCAGACTCCCGGACAGAATTTGATCCTGGTTCATTGATTTCATTTTTCAACCATTAGGCTATCCCCACCATATATTTTTTTTTATTTTATTTTTTATTTATTTATTTTTTTTTTTGTGATACCAAAAGTGAAGGTTGATAAAAGGTTGGAAAATAATGTCCTTTTGCAGGAGTTGGTGATTACAAGAAGAATTGCCACTGAAAAGGTAATTTGTTCTAGACTGATAATTTGGTAAAAAAGATAAAACTCAACAATGTACATTTGTTGAGTGGATGCATTAATTTAAAATAACAATAAAATATTGAACATTATTTGTAATGTGAAATGACAACTTTACATTACAGATTAATAGTAAATGTATAATGGTTACTGAAGTTCCTGTGTTAGGGTGTAAAAAAAAAAAAGTAAATGCTTTCTCTGCCTACGACACAATGCTCCACTCACATGACTGAGGAATATTGGTCCCTGAGCATTTTCATAGGCCAATGCATCCACATGAGTGGTCTAGGTTTTCTGGAAGAATAGTGATTTTTATCAAATCACCATCACCATCCAGCATAAGGAAGAGAAAAGGTAGTTAGATAAATAGCGCTGGGTAAGGATGACAAAAGATATTGCTACTTGTTTCATGAGAAAATCTAAAAAAAAACAATAAGTTCATTTTCAATCTTTTTTTTTTAATTGTTTTTGCAGGAAGATTTTATTTTAACAAAGTGAATTAATTCTTGTCTGAATATCTGAGATGTTGTTGTTCCTATTATTATACCTTGATTTGGATCACTTACTTCATCTTTGTTATCCATCAAAACATTTTGGTTAATATTTTCTATGTCCTTTCAATCTGAATTTCTGTGATCAATTCATTTGGATTCATTTCTTACTCTTTGTTTTCATCACAAATGTTTTTGTCCCATTATCTTTCTTTGGGTTTCTATCACAATTGTCATAATTACTTAAGATCCTAAGTTAACCTGAAAGTAGGAATAAAATAATAATAGCAATCATACATTTATATTGGTTTATTTTCAACATGAAAAGTTATAATATTCTTATGTTTCTAGTTAAATGTAATGCAGAGAAAATAAGAGAATAAGGAATAAGGTTGCTTGCTAAAAGATAAGTAACTTTTATGAAATTATTTATTGCTTGTATTGATAATTTGGTAGAAATATTAGAAACTTCAATGTATATTTGATAATGAAAGTAGCATAGGCTTGGCTATAATGAAAATATTTAAGAGAAATTTTAATATAAGTTAATTTAAGATTTCAAATAAGGGTATGTGTAATGATTAATTCCAATTTATGACTCTGCATTAACTGAATTGTAATAATCTAGATATATTTTGCCAGAACAATAGTTAAATGGAAAGTAAAATATGAAAGCTGTATTGAAAATTAAGAAAAGTAAAAAGAAATAAATTTGTGGAAGATATAAATGCATTTTAACCAGCATTGCCAGTCTAACAGATGACATCAGTGCCAAGGGACATTAATACACCAACATAGCAATAACAATCACAATTTAATGCTATCAATTTAATCACAGCCAGTATGAAGGTACACTAGTTTAAAACACTACAATTACCACCCATACCATGTCTGCAGAATTGAATCATCCTCATTTCTTCCATATTACAATTGTAAGTAGGAACTTCCACTCAGACAGATTTTTCTCAAGAACTACTTTTTGGAACAAGATGTTTCTTGAACACTACAATCTTCTTCACTTCCTACCACTTTCCTTTTCATTCATATCACATACCTAAATCAGTAAATTTCTTGAGCCTTTTATTAGGTAAACTTTAGTGCAAAAAAAAGTGGCATTATTGCTATAAATACTTTCACACTATTGTATACAAGTATAAAGTCCTGTAACTATGATGTGGTTATTAATTTTTTTAAGTTGTGTCAATATTTTTAGCAAGATAAATATGGTATTATTAAAATCACTCTATATATATATATATATATATATATATATATATATATATATATATATAAATCTTTTAGAAAGCAGAAATTATAGATGCTTGTAACTGTTGAATATCTTTCCCATCAAGAACAGATTTCAATGTCATGAAACCATTACCCATTTAAAAGTTTACTTCTTATTTTGACACACCATTATTTTCTGTTTCTGTCCTTTGTTGCATGTAACTGGTAAATAGTTTCGCATCTGAACCTTTTAATCTCCACTCTTCTTATCATGCATAGAGTTTAATCTCATGTAACAAGTTTCTTAAAATTTTGGTTTTAAAAATTTATCTATACATGAATATAGATTGTATTTTAGGTAGTCCCAGTGATTTAGAAATTGTGATATCTATTTTTATAATATACTAGTTTAAAAGACACCCTATTGGACAGCATTTAAGCTAGCTCCTGTTGAGGGCACTTGATTGAGCCTTCATCATAATAGGTAGAGAGGAGTAGATGCGATAGGTAACAATAAACTACAGAAGAACTCAAAATTGATTGCTGCATTTAAGTATTACATTAATATTTAAGCTTTTAAAAGTTCAATGATAATTCTTCTGCTGCCACTAAATTTAAAGACAATTTGATGTACCTATGTCCTTACTTTCCACACAAACAATTATTTTTATTTCATGGGTGACTTTCACTGGATTTTGCAATTAGTTTCAATTATTACTAAATTTATTTCTAAGTTATAAAAATTGTTATCGTAAAAAAAAAAATTGTCACAAAAAATTACATTAAAAAAATCACTGAAAACAATTGCAGTAATGAAAACTTGGAAGTCCAAAATTTCAGGATTGTGGGGTTGGATCTGGCCTGGAATGTTTTTAATTTACTCACAGAGTTGACCTGATTCCAAAATGGTATATGTTGGGCCTCTAGGAATAAAGTCAAAAAAGTGTGACACAGTGGCATTCACATTTATTATATAGACAAGTTAGTATCAGAAAGTTCTTAGGATCATCTCCTGGTGGACTTGATAACTGATTTCAATCATTTGAGAGAACTAACAGTTGGGTTTACAAATTTTTTTTTATTTACACATTTTCTTGTGTTTTTCTAGTGTTTGTTCACCCTGAAAACTCCTCATCTTGAACTGATACTTGAAATGAGCATGCTATTCAATGGCCTATGGTTGATCCAAAGGATAGTTGCCAAAAGACTGCTGAAGCATTTTGAAAGTCTCTATAGCAAATCTCCCAAACTTGATGCAGACATGTTCCCTGAATTGTAAAGATTGCAGAACCATTCCAATACAAGGTTAACCTCATGTAATAACTGAACATGAGAAGATAGCATGCAATGTATTGGCAGACTGACTCTGTAGGCTGGGTACTAATGAATGTTTGCTGCATGTAAATTTCCATTGAATGGCACAATCACAACACAACACAGTCAAGAAATGGGAACTTTCTGATATCACCTTGTTGTATTAAAATCTAAAGTGATTTTAAGTTATTTACTTCTTTTTAATCTTGAAAATTATTCATTGATAGGTTATTTTGGGATCTTAGGGATCTAACTCTTTCTTTTAAAGTAATGTAGAGAAAATCCTGCTACAAGTACATAATCTAAACTAATTAATCTTTATTAAAGAAATGATACTCTTGTAACCCACATAGATATCAGTATGTCTTAATTTTGTGTTTTCTATTTTCTTTTTAGCTTCTCAGCCAACAATATCTAAATTTCCCAGAACCAAGGCTCCAGAATTCTCTTTAGGCGGTATTCCATACAACTTTATAGAAGACAATCATGTATTTCACACAAATGGAGCAACTTTACGGTTAGTAATGGCCTCTGCTAAACTGTTTTCTTGAATATGTTTGTTGAATTATCAAAAACTTTTTTTTATATCCTGCACCCCAGCAAAGTGCTGCAGAAGCAGGGGATATTCTACTGGGTGACCAAAAAGTTATTTTGTGCTTATTAGCATATTGAATGATGGATAAATCTTGCTCTTTTATTTATTTTTTTTTCTTTTGATAAAACTAATGTAAATGGTGGGACGAGTCTTGTATACCATCATATACATCCAGATTTTAATTATGTAATTCTTTTTTGTAGAGCCCATCACACTCCAGGTCACTCTGAGGATCACTTGATACTGTACCTAGAAGAAGAAAATGCTGTCTTTTCTGGTGACACTGTTCTAGGAGAAGGCACAACTGTAAGTATTCAATTGGATTAGTCTTTTTTTTATTATTATTATATGCTCTTTGCTCTTCAGACCAACATACACATCTTAGTTGTTATACTCACAATGTTTCAGCCATTGTATTCCCTGACCTTCCAAATGTCAGCCTTCATACTTGAAAACTTTCTTGGAATATCAAACTGAGTCCTTCAGATGATCCAACCAAGGTAGATTGTAATCATTTCACTTTCAATATGTAAAGGATATTTCATATAATACTCACCAATCTTATTTGTCAGGTTGCTTGTTCATTTCTTCCACTGAACCAGAGTATATGACGTTTCAGAACTGACAGACCCAGTGATTGAACTCACAACTGCCAGAGAACCTGATATCTTTCAACCAATGCTTTAATCCACTAAACAATATGTCTCTTGTTCTGAAATTCTAGAAACTTAAACATGTAGTCAAGTGGTGGGACTGTATGGGTGTCCTGGTTTAGAATCATGTCTGCTCATATTTTATCTGCATAAGTATTTTATTGTTTTTCATTATCATTTCATTAAAAGCAGGAACATGATTTAAGTTTTCATGTATGCTTAACAAACAAAATTTATCTGTCTCTATTTCTGAGATGAAGTATTGTAACTATTTACATTGTTCAGACTATCGTCCTCATATTTATTGCCATATTTAGTTTGAAATTCCAACGTATATCACCTGAAGAAAGCTCCTGTACAACAACAGCTGAAACATCATTACTATGACAATAAAGATGAGGACGATAGTCAAACAATGTAAATAGTGTAAATAACAATTTAGTTAACAAGTTCAAAAAATTTTATCATTCAGTCAAAGCAACTATTGCTATCAAAAGATCATTTAGAGGGTCAAAAAGTTCAAAACTAATAAATGGGGTGGTCTTAATAAGGTCAGGGGAGGTGATTGGAAAATTTCTTTAAAAAAAAAAAAAAAATTAAACCTTTACTCACCCACTACTGCCTATTAGGTACCTAAGAGTAATATATAAATATTGTACATTCTAATAAGTAAGCTGAAAACTTTTCATATATATGAAATAGATTTTTATCATGGTTTTTGCAGTGACATTGGTAAATGGAAAATAATACCATTACTAATTCTGTCATGTGAAAAAAAACTTGTTTTTTAAAATCTCATCAGAATTTGATCAAAATGTTTCAGTCATGTTTACTATTTCATTGTTTCTAAGTTATTATATTTGATTGGACAAGACTCAACAAATAGGAAGTGGGTAGTTCATGAAATATTTTAGAGAACAGAAAAAAAAACTCTCAGGTTAGATTTTACAAGTTAAACAGTAGTAACCAATTATAATTAAGTTGGGTAGTTAACTTGTTAAAAACTAAGATCACTCAACTGTTATGTAATATCAATCCTCCCCCATGGCAGTGAATGCTAGGCAATTTCTTCAAGAATGAAAAGGAGACTTGAGGCAACAGAAATGTGGTTCTGCAGAAAAATGTTGAGAATACCATAGATAGAACATGTAAACAATGAGGAATGTTTCAAGAAAATTGGCCTGAAAAGTATGCTTTTGTTTAGGATCAGAAACAGACAATTGAAATTTCTGGGACATGTAATGAAGCTTGGAGAATTTAAGACTCTCAGGACATATTGAAAGTAAGAGGAGCCAAGAGGAAACACTGAGTAACCTGTGTAAAGAGCTTGTATAAATGGATGGCAGAACAGATGTTAAGAGGGTGAGTAAGGGAACAAACATTGCTTAGTGATACAAAGGATAGGATATTGTGGGGAGCCATTATCGCACATTTTATATAGAGAGTTGGTACATAAAAGTAGTGGTTAGCTAGGGAGTGTGGGTGCAGCCTGTTTTGGGATTAGAGGTATGATGAATGGGTCATACTTGTAAATTAGAATACCCAAATTTTTCTTTAAGATTCCATCTAGAAAATATCTAAAAGAAAAATGTAGAAAAAAACCTGAGCAGTGAAGGTAGAATATATTGGGGTGTGAACCAGGGTGTAGGGGTGACATTTCTTATCTTAATCCAATGATACAGGTCAGTTGGATAAGATAGAAACTGTACATTTTGGGAAGATAGGGAAAAAAAAAAAAAGAACAAAATATTTCAACACAAAGCTCTAAAGGAAAATTTTTAAAATTTGATTTTTAAAAATTTTTTTAAAGTAATTTATGACCCATGATGGGTCCATATTTCCCCAAATAAGGGATATAAAAACCAAATAACAATGTACTGATTTAGAATAATGTAAATTTTAGGGAAAGGTAAAAATTGATAACTGAGCCAAATAGGTTGAAATGTTGAAACTCAGAGGTCAGATGTTATTTCCACAGAGGAAAATTACCCTTTTCTGGATTTCTAATGGAAGCAGGAGATTCTCTGAAATTGAATCACTTGTTGCCAGTTTGATGTGCAGTTGAAAACCAAAACTAATTCAGTTTGTAGCAGAAGACTTGATAAGCCAATCTACAGGATTCATTGAATTCAGAAACTGATTGGTATAAGACTAATGTTTGGTCAAAGGCAATGTATCTGGGGGTCCACACAGGTATGGTTCTGTCTATTTAGATACACTGTTCTCCTTCTTGTTAGAAGGATAAACCACATTCTTTCCACCCTCTTCACAGTATCTACTAGATTGTAATAGAAATGATTTTGTATTCAGTAAAATTAAATATTCTAGTAGTGAATATGAATCCTGGTTTATGTTGTTGTTATACTCCTTCCCCTAGCACAATATCATCTGACATTAAATCTGAAACAGATCCAAAGAGAAGATAAAACTACAAGAAAGGCTATGACCTCTCTTAATGTAAACTGAATAATAAAATGAAAGACTAATAGTACATAAAACATGAAACTAAGTAGATGGTGGTTGTTAGAAGCTGAGGATGGAAATTGGAAATTGTTATAAATAAAAGGATTTTTTTTATCAAATTTCTGCACATGTCTGGGGACCAAGTTATAACATTTTTTAAAAAGTATTAGAATTGATAGGGAAACTTAGGGGAATTTTATATCGTTTCATTCAAGACTTGGTCTGTCAGCAATATCTGTCAAGGGCATAAATTTTAAATCCTCTAAACAAATCTAATCTAAATCTAATCTGAGTAATTACTCAAAAAAAAAATCATTCTACGTTAGAGAATAAAATTTTTATCTCCTATTGTAATTAAGATTTAAAAAAAATTCTTTTTAAATAATCTTTTTTTTTTTTTTTTTTTTTAAGCAAATTTATTTTCATTCTGATGCTTATTTTTATTATTTTCTAAGTTTTGTATTTTGAACTTCTAAAATACTTATGATATTTGTCTATATTTCTGAGAGGAGGTATTGTAACTATTTACACTATTTATATTATTCGTACTGTTGTCCTCATCTTTATTGCCATATTCACAACGTTTTGGCTATTTTAATCTAAGGACACATGGCCCTGTGGATAAAAGTATTGGTTGACCCAAAGAGTTATGAGTTCAATACCTGGCCACAGCAGAGGGAACAAAATCGTGGAGAGTCGAGTTACTAAAGAGAATTAAAGAAGATATCCAAAAATGCCATATCATGTGGAATTAGAACATTCTACCCCTGTGGACTAAATAAAGGGTTCAATTCAAAATCCCAACATATATCACCTGAAGAAGGTCATAGTGCACAAGGCCGAAACGTTGTGAATATGGTAATAAAGATGAGGACAACATCCAAATAATATAAATCTTATAAATGCTTATGATATTCTTTCTCCACACTTGATAAGATTTTTTTATTTGCACTCTAATTATTTTGTTACTTTTATAAGCAGATGTTTAAGAGTACCATACAAACTGATTCTCACTGATGATACATTACCAATCTTTTGCTGCTCCATCACAATTTCCTTGGAAAAATACATTCCTTAGTTCCACCAGTTCTAATCTTCATGGCTAAGACATGCCATGCTATGCACATTGTAAGGAACCATACTCATTGCTTTCATATTCTTGATGAGATGTAAGTTCCATTCAAGTTGCTTCTTTCCACAAACTGTTGCATTGTGGAATCAACTTCCAAAAGGATGCTTCCCCAATCACTACAATGTTAACCTGTTCAAGTTTAGGGTTTCCCCACACATCCACATAAATTGTGCCTCTTGCTGTAAGCTTCTACCTTGTATAGGGTTATCATCATTGTAAAAATAAAATACAGTTAAAATTAACATTTTCTTTTTCATATTTTATCATTGAATGAAGAAATGTTTAATTATAAAAACGAGATGATTTTTTATCAAAGGGGAAATAACTCTTTCTTTACTGCATGAAAAGATAAAAAAAATATATAAAAGAAAAAAAACTTTTTTTTTTTTTTTTTCAAAATTTTACTTTTTCTTTAAATTTTAATTTCTAAATATGTGTTAGTCAATTGTTAGAAGAATAGTTCAACAATGGTGTTTCTAGTTGTACTTATTAAACATCTCACTTGCATCCAGACTTTGAACTTCTCAGTTGCTCAATATTTCACTAGAATAGATTTCCCTACTTGTTTCCTTAGTAATTCTGACAGACACACGTCTTTACTTGGTGTGTTTCTTACTTCCTCCATGATCTCATGTCATGCTTTGCAGCTCTTTCCTATTAGCAACTCTGACCATGCAGTAGTGTCTGCAGATATTTCTTTCTGCTCATCTATTAGGCAATATTTAGGACTCATTTTGTGATTTGTTGTTGTTGTTTTTTTTTTTTTTTTTTTTGTTTTTTTTTACGATGTCCCATGGAATGAAATTTTTAATCTTCCCATTGAAAATTGTGCCACTAAGATCTCTTCCTGGGTGACAGCCAGCATTGAAACTTTTATGCCAACACAGAAAATACTAAGTGAAACTGCAATCTTCACCTTGGTTCCTCCCGACTATTCAGCTCACAGGAATCACTTTTTCCTCTATACCTATGTGACACTTCTGATCATAGCAGATGCCTCCTTGTATCTGCTTGTAATGAGTGTAAGCATGTCCACAACAAAGCAAAGTCACTATTCACTGATAGAATAAGACACTATATAGCCTTTCAGAAGTTTGGTTCAATAGATTACTGGTAGCTCTGTAAAAGTTAACTGAACAAGAATAATTTCACAATCTTTTAATCAGTTTGAGCAGAATGCTTTGCTTGGAAATTCTCTTCCAACACAACTCTTCACTCGTATCTTATTTTCTCTCTAGAATGGAATCTTTACTGAGTGATATGCACAGAACTCCATACATAGTTTCTACTATCATCTAGAAACTAGATCCTCACAAGGCTTTCATATTAGAATTTAACTTGAGAACCACTAGTACAATAAATTACAGGTTCACATTCTAACCTATTTTCTAATTATTCGACTATGCATTGAATATTACTGCTAGATATGGTCTGGTGCTCCTGCTGTATATCTCAAGATTCTCAACAAAATTCAAAAAAGGGTCTTCAATGTAATTGGCCCTGACTTGATATTGCGACTTCAGTCACTTTCTCACTTATGTGACATGGCTTCCCTCTGTCTTTTCTATAAATATTTTCATGGCAACTTTTCTGATGAACTTTTCTCCTTAGTGCTTCAACTGCATGAATTTATGCATACTACTAGATTGGCAACTGAGTCTCACTTTTTTTATTGTTGAACTAGCTAGATGCCACCATTCATTTTATTCTCACAATTTCTTTTCTTGCATTTCTTGCCTGTGGAACTCCCTTCTGATTTTTTGTTTTCTTGCCATTTAGAAATTTCAAAATTTAAATGCAATGTCAATTGCCATCTTCTGTCTTCCTGAAACCTGTTCATTTTTCTCCTTTGTCCTCACTAAAGTATCCTCATTCTCTCACTCTCGGTAGCCCCTTGCATCCTAGCAGCATTTTCACCTTGATTGGGGTGAATCAATTAAAAAAAATAAAAAAATAATTTTCCAATTAATTTATTACAAAAATGATGAAAAGTGAAAAATTTTTGGAGACTTTTTGTTTATATTTATTTTTTCAATTATTTTTAATTTAAGATGGGAAGCAGTTGATTATTTATATTTGATAAGATTTATTTTTTCAACCCAAATTCATATTTGTTTTTTTTTGTTTTGTTTACCCCTAAGGTAATGGAAGATTTATTCCTATACATGAAATCTCTGCAAACCATTTTGGATTTAAATCCCCAAATCATCTACCCTGGACATGGACCACTGGTAGAAGACCCGATTACATTTGTCAAAAATTACATCCAACATAGAAAACATCGAGAGACACAGATTTTCAATTACTTAAAAGAAAATTCTCCTAAATCATTCAACTTGGTAGAAATCAGGACACAGATATACAAGGTAAGAAAATTTAGAAATTAATTTACTTCTTTATTTTAATATTTAATTTCATTTAATTATTTATTCAGGTATTTCACTGATTATGAAAGTGCTATTTTTTCATCCTCTTGACATAGTTTTTCTCGTATATTTTCCTCAATATGCTCATAAGTGATATTATATTTTTCTTGATTGGATTGGTTCATACCTAACCAAGACAATTTTACTAGGAAGAGAATTTTTATTATGATTGGATACAGAAGTTTCAGATTGGATAAAATTGTGCTTAACATTCAAGTGGTGATAATCTAAGTATGTATCCAAAGATATTTTGGAAATTTACTAATTTGCATATTCTTTTAATGGGAGGTAGGCACAAGTGGCTTAATGAAATGAATTGAAATCCACTAAATAGAAAAAAACTACAGGTTTGAATTCTCCTAGACATGAATTTTCTCATTAAATTATTCAAATAAAAAACGATATTTGTTCAATTTTCAATTCCCCTTTACAGAGTTGAAATCAATTGTCTAAATCAATTTGAACATCATGAAACAATATCCTTCCTTGGAAATTGAATTTACATTTTCAATTTTAAAATCTAATGTTGGGCCAATAGTTCTTATGTCCGTAAATATACATTTCCCAAATGGTAGATTATTGCAACAGTTATGTAAATATATAAGGTTTATATTTTGCAATAGCTAATTTCCATATGTTGCAAATATTTTGTTTTTAAAGTTGGAAAGTTAAAAGTTATAAAATGGTGTAATGATCTGATAAAATGCCATGAAATTTATACATTGGTAAATTATCAAGAATTTGTGCTTGGTAAATGTCATGTAATAAAAGAAAAGACATTAGTTTTGTTTCTTTATTGAAAAAAAGTGCAAATGCATTTTGAAGTTAAGAATCTCCTTGCAGGACTTGAATAAATCCTTGTACAAAGCAGCTGAAAAGAACACTGTTTTGCATTTGCAGAAACTAGAAAAAGAGAATGTTGTAGGTAAGTAAATAATAAATATTTAATGTTAAATATGAGAACATGGATTTTTTTTGTATGTTTATAATGTGATTAATTTAAAAATTAAAAATGTAAAGTAACTACTTTTTGTGAAATAATATTGACACTAAATAATGATAGTAATGTAATGATATGAAATAATGATTATAAAGAATAGTATGTAAAGTATATAATAATACTAAGTAATGATATAATAATTGATGTGTTTTTATTTCTTTTAATTTTTACAGAAAGTCTTAATGAAAATGGTTCTCAGAAATGGCGTTACCTTATCAAATCCACCTTATGAACCACAAACATTATCTACTTCACAAAATGGATGTCCAGATGTCTGGCCATAGTACAAAATAAATGTGTTCCTAAAAAGTATGCAATATATTTTTTAAAAAATGTTTGGGAACTGATAATGTACAACACAATTGAAAAAGATGTTTCCTTATTTTAAATAAAAAATATTATTAGAGATGAAATATTGTTTAAAAGTTTCATTGAATCAAAAGATTTTTTTTTTTTTTCATTTAAAAATTAACATTTTTTATTTTTTATTTATATATATATATATATATATATATATATATATATATATATATTTTCTATGCCAATCGGGTGGTTTAACAAAGAATAGTACTTGAAATTGTTACTTTTATAATTAAAGCTATTTTGGTGCAGTGTTACCAATATTTAAATATAAACTAATTTATATTGGAAATAAAATATATATTTTTGTCTAATAAAGAAACATCTGCCAAGTATTATAATTATAAAGAAGACTTTAAAAGATGAACACAAACACTGACAATAAAAAAATGAATCAACATTATATTCTTGTATTAGTTTCTATATATTCAAAATACATATTTTTCTAAATTGTATCTGCAGTAACTGTCTATATCTCTGAGATGAGATATTATGATTGTTTATATTATTCACACAGTTATCCTCATCTTCATTGCCATATTCACAACATTTCGGACATTGAATGCTCCAGCTTTCTTCAGGTGATTGGAATTTTGAACCAAACCCTTTATTTCACCAAGTTAGATTGTTCTAGTTCCACATGCCATGCCTCTTCTGGATGTCTCGGTTATTTTCCTTTAACTCAACTCTCCAAGTTTTTTGGTTCACCACTGCTGTAGCCTAGTATTGAACTCACAACTCTTTGGGTCTAGTCACCAGATCTAACCAAACACCTTTATCCACTGGGCCATGTGTCCTTGAGGATAAAGGCATTGATTAGATCCAGATACCCAACTTGGTGAATGGTGGAATCTGTTGACAATAGCAAGTCCTCTATGAATTTTTCCCTGGAAGATCAGTGGACAATCTATTTTTAAAATGTAATTAAAATTTAAAAAAAAAACAAAAATTTTCAGTTGTTCATTCTAGCATGTTAGGTATTCAGGGAAGATAAAAAATGAAAGATTAGATTTAAACTTTCTTAACTGATGTTCTTTGTAGTCTAATTGGTAAGACAGCTGCCTCTGACAATCAGGGTTCTGGAGGAAATGGAATGCAAGTTCAAACCTCAACAGAGGTTCATTTTGTATTTTTGATCCAAGCTGTTTTCAGTCATGGAATTATGGTTCTGAGAGTTGCAATAAAAAGAAACAGAAAAGAAGAAAGAAAGAAATACTATTTAAAAAAAAAAAAGATGAATAATAAAAATACACGTTTATTTCACTTTTTACTTTTTAAAAAAATGCTGAGTATTTTTTTTTTTAAGTTACAACTCAGGCTTTGTTACTATAGTTAAAAAAAACATTTAAAATAAGAACAAGAAGCAATTACTTAAAATATTTAGTATTTTGCATCGAATGCCTAAACCTACTGAGAAACAATCTATCGTTAGTTATTTGGAAGGACAGGTAGGCTATTTCTCATCAAGAGGGTTACCATATTTCCTTAGATCAGCAGCAATCATGTGATCACTAGCTCCACCACCACCACCACCACCATTGTTGCTGCTGCTGCTGCTAGATTTTTCTTCACTTTCTTTGTTTGGTGGACCTGTCTTCTTGCAACTTTGCAGTATTGTCATTGGACTGGCATAAAGTTTGAGATCAGCAGCAATCATGATTTCACTTTCTTTGGTGTGGGGCTTGATAGCTTGACCTTCAGTCACTGATGGGTTACAATCTACTCTACATTCATGGTTTTCTTTTTGGTGATCTACAAAAAAGAAAGGAAAAAAGACTTTTAATATATTCAAATTGTTATTAAATTTTTTTAAGATAGGAAACACAATGTAATGCTTATGTATCAAATTCAACATATTTTTAGAATCCATTTTTGTGCATGGATATGTAACATTGACTTTATTTACAAAGTAAATGATTATATGAGAACAGAAACACAACAAAAGTTGAAAGGAAACAAATGTCTTTGTATTTGCTGAATATATATATATATATATATATATATATATATATATATATATATATATATATATATATATAATTATTTATTCAAAAATGATAACATAAATATGTTATAAAATCACTACAAAAATAACCATTTTGTTTCAACACTTCTGGTGTATTATCAAGTGATGGTGTTGAATGTATCTTCATTCAACACCATCATTTGATGAGACACCAGAACTGTTGAAACAAAATGGCTATTTTTGTAGTGATTTTATAACATTTATGTTATAATTTTCGAATAAATAATTATATTTGCTATACTCTGTATTGAGCACTTTTTTAAGAATAGTATTTTTGGTTATTGGAATTTATTTCGTATACACCAATCCTATACTTGGGTATATATATATATATATATATATACACATACATATTCTTAATACAAAGTTGCATGTAGTTACTTACAAAAGATTATGTACCAAAAAACATATGGAATTTTTGTACTTATGTTTGAAGTGGCTTACTTGCATCTTGCTAGTTTGAATTCCCGGAACTAAAAGAGGTTGTTTAATTTACACACCTAACAATGTCTCGTGCAATTCTTGTCAAGTCACCGTGACTGTTTTAATTCTCGTGATTATCTGTAATTATTTTTTTTACTAGTCAAGGGGAAATAGCATTTGTTTGTCATAACAAACCTCCCCACCTAGTAATAGTCTAGTAGTATTGATATTGGTTATCTCTTTTCCAAGAAACTTTTCTACCTGATTTCATATGCCTGTCTTAGCATTTCTGTCTGTTTTCTGTATCCATCGTCAATATGGTGTTTCTTTTCAGTTATTACTTGCTTAAAACTTTTAGGTTCAATGTGTGGTTTTAACCCATCTGTTGATACCATTGACTGTATCTCATTTGTTCATTTTAATTAGAAAATATTTGTCAGTTCTACATAACACTTGGATGGGACCAGCGTAGGGGGCTTCCAGAGGCTTGCGAACTCTATCTATTCTTAGCCATACACTTTTACATGTCTTAAGCTTGTCAGGAATGTATTGATAGAGTGACACGCATAAGTATTGGATACATGTTATTTTCTGTTATAACTCTAGTTTATGTTCGCCATTTTGCCTGATATTTGGTAAGTAATATCTCGTAAAGTTGTTTTAGTTGTATGTGGAAGGAAAATTAAAAACTCATGGTTGAATCCATTTTTTTTTATCAAAGTTCAAAATTACCCTATGCAAAAGTATTGGATACATCAATTTAATATTTTGTTGCATAGCCTCTGTTTTGTTTCACTGCTTCCAGTCGCTTTCTATAGTTGGCCACAAGTTTTCCACACTGATCCACCGTTACTTTACCCCATTCTTCCTTGCATAATTCCTCTAATTGCTTGATATTTTGTGAATTCCACTTATGAACTTTAACCTTCAAAGTATTCCACAAATTCTCAATTGGATTCAAGTCGGGAGACTGACTTGGCCAATTGGGAGTACTAATACCATTATTTTCAAACCATTCCTTTGTAAGTTTTGCGGTATGTTTGGGATCATTGTCGTGTTGAAGCACGAAATTCCGACCATGTCCTAAAGAATTTGCAAATTTCTGAAGGTTCTTCTCTAGAATCTCCCTGTACATGCTACCATTCATTCTACCATGGATAACTTGTAACTCCTGTGCACTTGGATGAAAAGCATTCCCATATGATAAGGGAAGCACCCCCAAACTTAACTGTGGGGATGGTATTGTGCTTGTTGAAGGCAGTGCCATTTTTTCGCCAAACACTTGTCGCTGTGTTCCTTCCGAATAGTTCAACTTTCGTTTCATCTGACCAGATTACCTTTTTCTCAAAACTGCATACCTTTCTTTTCATAAGTTTTGACAAACTTTAATCGGTCTTTGACATGTTTGGTTTTCAGTAAAGGCACTTTTCTTGTTGATCTTAAATGAAAACCTGTATGATATAGAGCTCTGCTAATGGTATCCTTACTTACATTAATTCCAGCACCCTCAAGATCAGTTTTAATTTCAGAATGAGTAATGAAGGGGATTTTGGGCACATTTCTGCTGATCCACCTTGAAGTACTCTCATTTATTTTTCTCGGTCTTCCATTTCTTGGAAGGTTTGCTGTACCGTCACCATACTTCTTATACTTTCTGATGATATTTCCTACTGTACTTAGTGCTAGATTCATTTCTTTGCTAATTTTTTGGTAACCTTGTCCTCCTTTGTGACGTTCAATGATTCTATCTCGCATATCTCTGGATAATTTTTTAGTTTTTGCCATTTTTAATCCTTGAATTGCAGAATGCACATCAAAGAGTCAGATGATTAGTAGCACTATCTTGTAAACAACTGTGTGCTTCTCTGATTGGTCAGAGATAACATTCCAATACTATCGAAAATTTGAATATTTAAAGTCTTTTAAAATACAAAGTTTCAATTGGAAATTTGAAAAAAGTGTCATGTATCCAATACTTTTGCATAGGGTAATTTTGAATTTGATAAAAAAAAATGGATTCAACCATGAGTTTTTAATTTTCCTTCCACATACAACTAAAACAACTTTACGAGATATTACTTACCAAATATCAGGCAAAATGGCAAATATAAACTAGAGTTATAACAGAAAATAACATGTATCCAGTCACTGTATATAATTTATTTACAGAGCTATAATCTTTCTTGACTGTAAGTAGTGTAAGGTACATTGTAACTTTTTAGTGAACTTCTGATTATCTGTGTTATTATTAGTATCATCTACTAGCAACTAAGGGATCATATGTGTGCTGGTAACTGTAAAGGGGGAAGTATTGGAAGAATTAGGTGCAGCATGGATACCCATTAATATTATTGGAAGAGTATCCAGTCATGATTCCTTTCTAGCTATTAATGCTGTCTTAATTGTTCTATATGCACATTCGA